CGGTTCCCCTTCTGACCAAGGTTTGGAGCCCCGGGAAGGCGGAGTCGCCTACTACATACAAAGAAGGAAGCCAGACAGGAGAATCCTGGGCAGAAAAGCACCACCAGCTTTTTGTTTTTGTTTTTGTTTTTTTTGAGACGGAGTTTCACTCTTGTTACCCAGGCTGGAGTGCAATGGCGCGATCTTGGCTCACAGCAACCTCCGCCTCCCGGGTTCAGACAATTCTCCTGCCTCAGCCTCCCGAGTAGCTGGGATTACAGGCACGTGCCACCATGCCCAGCTAATTTTTGGTATTTTTAGTAGAGACGGGGTTTCACCATGTTGACCAGGATGGTCTCGATCTCTTGACCTCGTGATCCACCCGCCTCAGCCTCCCAAAGTGCTGGGATTACAGGCTTGAGCCACCGTGCTCGGTCCACACCACCAGTTTTAACACGGCTGCTCTGGCCCTGGGAACTAACAACCTGGACGCCCACTCAAGAGAACTAATCTGAAAGTTGGTAAATTCAAAGAGGACAGGAGGATAAATTTACAATGATGGGAAGAAACCAGCGTAAAAAAGCTGAGAATATTCAAAGTCAGAACACCTCTCCCTCTAAAGATGATCATAGTTCCACATCGACAATGGAACAAGGCTTGATGGAGAACGAGCGCATCCCAATGACAGAATCACTCTTCAAGGAATGGATAATAACAAACTTCGGTGAGTTAAAAGCACATGTTGTAGCCCAACATAAAGAAACTAGGAACTTTGAAAAAAGGTTTGATGAAATCCTATTGAGAATAGACAACTTAGAGAGGAGTATGAGTGAATTAATGGAACTGAAGAATACAATACAGGAACTCCGAGAAGTATGCACAGGTTTAAACACTCGAATTGTTCAATCAGAAGAAAGGATATCAGAGGTCAAAGTCCAACTTAATAAAATAAAATGTGAAGAAAAGATTAGAGAAAAAAGGATAAAAAGGAATGAGCAAAGTCTCCAAGAAATGTGGGACTACGTGAAAAGACCAAATTTACCTTTGATAGGTGTACCTGAATGCGATGGAGAGAATGAATCCAAGATGGAAAATACCCTTCAGGATATTATTCAGGAAAATTTTCCTAAACTAGCAAAGCAGGTCAATATTCAACCCCAGGTAATACAGAGAACACCACAAAGATATTCCTCAAGAAGAGCAACCCTAAGGCACATAATCGTTAGATTCACTAGGGCTGAAACGAAGGAGAAAATACTAAGGGCAGCCAGAGAGAAAGGTCAGGTTACCCACAAAGGCAAGCCTATCAGACTTACAGCAGATCTCTCAGCAGAAACTCTACAAGCCAGAAGGGAGTGGGGGCCAATATTCAACATCCTCAAAGAACAGAACCTTCATCCCAGAATTTCATATCCAGCCAAACTAAGCTTCACAACTGAAGGAAAAATAAAATCCTTTATGAACAAGCAAGAACTCAGAGATTTTATTACCACCAGGCCTGCTTTACAAGAGCTTCTGAAAGAAGCATTACACACAGAAAGAAACAACCAGTATTAGCCTTTCTAAAAATATACCAAAAAGTAAAGAGCACCAACAGAAAGAAGAATTTACACCAACGAATGGATAAAACAGCCAGTTAACATCAAATGGCAGTAACCCTAAATTTAAATCGACTAAATCCCCCAATCAAAAGACACAGCCAAAACCCAAAGGCATGTTACATCCAGACCTGTTTCACATGCAAGGATACACAAAGACTCAAAACAAAGGGATGGAGAAAGATTTACCAACCAAATGGAGAGCAAAAATAAATAATAAATAAATAAAAAGCAGGAGTTGCAAATCTCATAGCGGATAAAATAGATTTTAAAGCAACAAAGATACAGTGGTAAAAGGATCAATGCAACAACAAAAGCTAACGATCCTAACACCCAGATACATAAAGACTTAGACTCAATGAGACAGAAAATTAATAAGGATATCAAGGACTCGAACTCAGATCCGGAACAAGTAAACTTAATAAATATTTATAGAGCTCCCCACTTCAAATACACAAAATATACATTCTTGTCAATATCACATCACACCTACTCATAAGTTTAAATGAAACATTGATTGGCCATTATTAATACCCAATTTTTTTCAGAATAAAGCAATATTTCCATTTACTCTCCCTGTTTCTCTTCCTCTTTCGTCCTCTCCTTTACTTACTTTTTTTTTCTTTCCTTCTCTCAAAAAAAGAAATCGACTTGTAAACCTCTAGATCCAGGTCGGCAATGTCTCTCTCATTGCTTGATTTTCTTCCTTCCCTTCCCTCCCTCCCTCCCTCCCTCCCTTCCCGCTTCTTCCCTTCCTTCCTCCCTACCGTCCTCCTTCCCTCCCTTCCTGCTATCCTCTCAAAAAAAAAAAAAAAATTATTTTTGTTGGCCAGGGGCAGTGGTTCAGGCCTGTAATCCCACCACCTTGGGAGGGCGAGGCGGGTGGATCACTTGAGCCCAGGAGTTCAAGACCAGCTTAGGCAACACAGCAAAACCCCACCTCTACCAAAATACTAAAATGAGCCAGTCTCAAAACCCGGTCTCAAAATGAATAAATAAACAGATTAAAATTTAACAAACCCTTTTTGTGTAAACATTTTAAACCTACACAAAAGTAGACAGAACAATAAACCTTCATATACCCATCATCATATTTGACAATTATCAAGATTTTGCCACATTATCACTTTCTCTCTCTCTGAATTTTTTTTTTAATCCTAGAAATTATCTCAATTGTCTGGGCATAGTGGCGCATGCCTGTAATCCTAGCACTTTGGGAGGCTGGTGAACATAGTGAGACCCCATGGTTAATAAATAAATAAATAAATAATTTTTTTTTAATTTCTTTTTTTTTTTTTTTTTTGAGACGGAGTCTTGCTCTGTCACCCAGACTGGAGTGCAATGGCTCTATCTCGGCTCACCATAACCTCTGTCTCCCAGGTTCAAGCAATTCTCCTGCCTCAGCCTCCCGAGTAGCTGGGATTACAGGCATGCACCACCACACCTGGCTAATTTTATATTTTTAGTAGAGTTGGGGTTTCTCCATGTTGGCCAGGCTGGTCTTGAACTCCTGACCTCAAGTGATCCACTCGCTTTGGTCTCCCAAAGTGCTGAGATTACAGGCATGAGCCACCTGTAATGGTGGCTGGCCTTTTAAAATTCTCAATTCACCCCTATATATTTCAGTATGTGTCTCTTAAAAATCTGCATATGTTCTTGTGTGACCATAGTGTCAATTTCATACCTAACAGGATGAACAGTACTTCTTATTGTCACTTAAGACCCAAACTATAACAAAATATCTCTGATCATTGAAGTGCAGTCTATTTAATTCTATTGTGGCTGGCTATTTTCTATGATACCCACCTAAAACACTAACATTTAGAGACTACTAAGATGGAAACAAACTTTAGAGATTTTTTTCTTTGTAAAATGTCTCTTAAAAAGAATATTCCTAGCCAGGAGTGGTGGCTCATGCCTGTAATCCCAGCACTTTGGAAGGACAAGGCGGGTAGAATCACTTAAGGTCAGGAGTTTGAGACCAGGCTGGCTAACACGGTGAAACCCCATCTCTACTAAAAATACAAAAATTAGCCAGGCATGGTGGTGGGCACCTGTAATCCCAGCTATCTGGGAGGCTGAGGCAGGAGAATAGCTTGAGCCTAGGAAGCGCAGGTTGCAGTGAGTGGAGATCGCACCATTGCACTCCAGTCTGGACAACGGAGCAAGACTCCATCTCAAAAAAAAAAAAAAAATTCCTTTTAGACATAGACAAGTTTGGAAGTATTTGGGTGGGGGAGCGGGGTCCTTCTGTATTATCATGGATTGGATATTATCTGTAACATGAGTTTCCATTTTGGATGCTGTAACATCATGCTAGTTGTCAGAAAATGTAATTAATCAGATAAATCTTAGTTGTGAGTACAGCTCCCTGCCATATGTCAATAGTTATCTGCCCCATTCTTTGTGTAGTCAGCATAAAGTGTTATGGGAATGTGTGATGTTTCCTGACACTGCCTTGGAAATGCCTGTTCTGTTATTATCCCAAAATGGGTATAGAAAATGTAGTAACATGAAGCTGGCAGCGGTGGCTCACGCCTGTAATCCTAGCACTTTAGCAGCCCAAGGTGGGCAGAGCGCTTGTGGTCAGGAGTTCGAGACCAGCCTGTCCAACATGATGAAATCCCATCTCTTCTAAAAATACAAAAAAATTAGCGAAGTGTGGTGATGGGCACCTGTAATCCCAGCTACTAGGGAGGCTGAGGCAGGAGAATCGCTTGAACCTGAGAAGCAGAGATTCTGCCACTGCACTCCAGCTTGGATGACAGATCAAGACTCCATCTAAAAAAAAGATAAAAACAAAATTATAAATAAATAAATAAATAGTAAAATGCTCTCAGCACCTTCAAAATATTCTTAGCTCTGTTAATTTCCAGAGTGAGAAATAATAGTAATATACACACTTAAATAGTGCTCTTAAGCCTTTTATCCATATTTACTCATTTAATTTGTTTAAAAAGCCATTAAGAATGTACTTACATGATGCAAAAACAACAGGATGAAAACAGACAAATGAAATCATAAGCTAGCTGACCAAACATTTAGATAGTAGGAAATGGACTTTGTAAACTTAATTATTTCAGCAAGTCATTTTTTCTGACTTGGACAGTAGATAGATACTGTTTTATACGACCTGTCATTTATAAAATGATAAACTTTGATATTTATAAAGTAAATAATTGTATTAGTATATGCTCAAGACATGCACATAGTGTATGTGCACTTCATCCTTTTGCAATTATATTTTGATTTAGGAGATATAACAAAATGCAAACAGTAGAGTTAGGGCAAAATTAAACTGTACTACCTTTTAAAATTTGATACAAAAACTATGAATTTTAATTGATTTATTTTCTTTCTTTCTCTTCCTTTCTTTCTTTCCTTCTTGCTTTCTTTCTTCTTTCTTTCTTTCTTGTTTGAGATAGAGTATCCTGTGCAGTGGGACGATCTCCATTCAGTACAATCTCCACCTCCTGGGTGCAAGCAATTCTCCTGCCTCAGCCTCCCTAGTAGCTGGGATTACAGGCACCCATCACCACATCCAGGTAACTTTTTGCATTTTTAATAGAGACAGGGTTTCACCATGATGGCCAGCCTGGTTTAGAACTCCTGACCTCAAGTGATCCGCTCACCTCGACCTCTCAAAGTGCTGGGATTACAGGTGTGAGCCACCGGGTTTGGCTTTTTTTTCTTTTTTTGATTTATTTTCTTTCTTAACCTTTCTGGGAGTGGTGAGGAGGTCTGTCTCTCTTTCTCTTGTTCCTGCCATTTCTTCTTTTGCCTAGTTCTGCCCTACTTCTCCCTAGGCCACTTCACAGCTACATCACTTATTTGTTCGTTTGTTTGTTTTTGAAATGGAGTCGCATTCTGTCACCCAGGCTGGAGTGTAGCGGTGCAATCTCCTTTCACAGCAACCTCCGCCTCCCAGTCTCCTGCCTGCTCAGCCTTCAGAGTAGCTGGGATTACTGGCGCCCACCCCTACGCCCAGCTAATTTTTGTATTTTTAGTAGAGAGGGGATTTCACCATGTTGGCCAGGCTGGTCTTGAACTCCTGATCTCCAGTGATCTGCCTGCCTCGGCCTCCCAAAGTGCTGGGATTACAGGCGTGAGCCATCATGTCTGGCCCTGTTTATTTATTTTAAGAGATAGATTCTCACTCTGTCACCCAGGCTGGAATGCAGTGGCACAATCATAGTTCACTGCAGCCTCAACCTCCTGGGCTTAAGTGATCCTCCCACCTCAGCCTCCCCAAGTAGCTGGGACTACCGATGTGTTTCACCACACCCAGCTAATTTTTAAAAAATGTTTTGTAGGGATGGGGTTTCACTTTGTTGCCCAGGCTGGTCTTGAACTTATGATTTTAAGTAATCCTCCTATCACCTGACGTCAGAAGTTCAAGACCAGCCTGGCCAACATGGTGAAACCCCCATCTCTACTAAAAATACAAAAATTAGCTGGTGGTGGGTGCCTGTAGTCCCAACTACTCAGGAGACTGAGGCAGGAGAATTGCTTGAACCCTGGAGACAGAGGTTGCAGTGAGCCGAGATCATGCCACTGTACTTCAGAGTGAGACTCTGTCTCAAAAAAAAAAAAGTGATCCTCCTGCCTCACCCTCCCAAAGTGCTGGGATTACAGGCATGAGCCACTGCACCTGGCCTGCAAACATATCATTTTATGATGTTTTATTTAGATTGATTTGTAAAGTTGCACTACAGTAAACAACTTGATAATGTATACAGTAGATCATGTTGAAGATAAGAACAATTCCAAAAATAGTTGTCTGCCTCTCTCTGTTTTTGTTCTCTCAGTAACAAAGCTCACTGCCTTTAATTATAGTTTGAGACACTGTGTTGAAATATTTAATCTCTGGTAATGACTGGATTTCAGTTTCCTAATTGGCATCTGTGTGTTTAGCCTCTATGCCAAAGCCCGACTCCAAGAATGAGCATACAATCCAAGATGCGGACTACACGGAAAACACTCTGATACCTGCCACCTGAGCTCCAGGGAAATGTCATAGCAAACAAGGGAAGGATAAATAGCATATATTTTATGATTCTACATATATATATTTTTAATGACCAGATTCTCCATAATTAACACATGCTTTCTTTCCTTCTTTTTTCTTTGAAACAGGGTCTTACTGTGTCACCCAGGCTGGAGTGCAATGGCACGATCAAGGCTCACTGCAGCCTTGACCTCTCAGACCCAAGAGATCCTCCTGCCTCAGCCCCCGGTAGCTGAGAACATGGCACATGCCACCACTCCTGGCTAAATTTTTGTATTTTTCGTAGAGATGGAGTTTTGCCCTGTTGCCCAGGCTGGTCTCAAACTCCTGAGTTCAACTAATCCCCCCACCTCGGAATCCCAAAGTGCTGGGATTACAGGCGTCAGACACCACGCCTGGCTGACACATATGTTTTAATGCCTGCCTACAACAGGCTAGGGTTTACAAGTCAAACCAAAAATCCATGTGTGAGCAGCACATGGTGAAGTGTACCTATGGCCCCAAAGAAGCCCTTGGCCTTGGGAACATGTCTTGCTCATTTCTGAATGGTATTTCATGTACCTGGGAGTAGGTCCCAGAAGAAAATGCTCCACCCACAACTGGGTGGCTTCCTTAAAACCTTGCGAAACCGGCTTCAAAGAACTAAAAGAATAATTTAGGTAGAAAAGTCATTGGCTTGAACTTCATCCACCAAAACTGCTTTGTGTCTTCTTAGCCGGAGAATCCAGAGAAGTGTCATTTTTCCTACTGTTGTGGCCTTTGCATTGTTTGAAACAAGATGCACTCATTATTTGCAACACATCTCTTTGGTGAGTCCATGACACACTGTGGGCGTGGGACCTAGAAACTCACATTCCCTGAATAATGTATGTTTCCTTTGGTAATGTTTATCCAGTCTAATGTTACGCATAGGTGAAGGTTCTACCTATTAAGAACAGTTTAAGGTGAGAGGCCAAATCATAGATCAATGATGGGCTCTGTAGGTCAGCGGACAGTGTTGCTCTTTCAGATGTGGAGACAGAGAAGAGATTCTGCTTTTCCAGTTTAGCCAATATGGTGCAACAGACATCCAACAGCAATGTCATAAGCCTTGAGGGAAAACTCAGGGGATACCCAGCTATTTTAGAAGCTTTGAAACTGCATATTTATCTGGAGGCCAATGTGTTTGTGTTCTTCTGAAAATGAAAACTGCTCTTTTTCCTAACATGAATAACACCCCGTGGGACTGAGATTGGACGCTTTCTGCCTCAGGGTGATACAGTTGGTGACCAAAGAAGGCCACTCCAAACACAGAAGCATCCTTGTGGTTTACTTCACAGGATCGAAGCACAGCCAGCTCTCACCGCAGCAGCCTTCTATCAGCCACTAAATGATGGCAGGGCCAGCAGACTCTGGCGACTCCTGTGGTTGCCGGAATCTGATCTTCACATCATGTCCACTCTTCCCAGGCACAACCCAGAGTTAGAACTTTTGCTTTCTCCAAATTCATATCAAGCGACCAGGTGAGGTGGCTTATGCCTATAATCCTAGCACTTTGTAAGGCCAAGGCAGGCGGATCGCCCAAAGTCAGGAGTCCGAGAGCAGCCTGGGCAACACGGCAAAACCCTATCTGAACTAAAAGTATAAAAATTAGCCAGGTGTGATGGCACGTCCCTATAATCCCAGCTACTTTGGGAGACTGAGGCACAAGAATCGCTTGAACCTGGGAGGCAGAGGTTGCAGTGAGCCAAGATAGCACCATTGCACTCCAGCCTGGGCAACGGATTGAGACTCCGTCTCAAAAAAAAAAAAAAATCAGATGAAGGGATCCAATCATGTTCCAGACAAAATGCTCAGTGCTTTCACAAAATTCTCCCTATAAGATGGGAATTTTCTCCTCGTGCCATAGAAGTGGAAACTAAGGCTCAGAAAGTTCAAGTGACACACAGCAGGTCAGAGACAGTGCCAGGAAAGGAACCCAGGTCTGTGTGACTCCAAAGGTCCCGTTCTTTTCACTTCCTCATTTTCCACCAAAAAAAAAAAAAAAAAAGTACCAGTTTTACACGTAAACAAATACTGTTGTTCATCCATACCTCGGTATTAGCAGGTTCTGAGTTTCACTCTAATGGAGCTCATTGGGCCTGAATGGGTCTAGTTAGAGGTGACAATTATGTTAATGATATGAAGCCAGAGAGTTCTCTGCCCCTTAAGAAGCAATAACTTTATTCCTGGCCAAGGATGCTGAGTTGACTATGTTCTTTGGACCCTTTGTCATGGCCAGACTAGACGGATTGGCTAGTGCTATCACTTGGAAAGGAGTTTACTCCTCTTTGATGCCCTCCTTTGTATCTGGAAGTAGTCAATCTGAAAATTATTTAGCCATATCTTCTGTAACAAACCGAAGGGGGGAAAGTGTCCCAGAGAAGGCCACAGGCATTTGCTCACCCTTATTAATTCCATGTAACAACTCAGAGGCACTCTGAGCCTCTCAACCCAAAGCTTCATATCTTCAGATGCCAAGCCTCCAGTAGCAGGGCCACGTGACTCAAGCAGACAGGAAGCAGACCAGAAGTAGGCTAGAAGCCAACCTGAGCACAGCACCATGTCTCCAGGACCAGGGAGCACAGTAACTTGAGGCCACCTGTTCACCCACTGTATTTTTACCTATTTTAAAAATGTTAAACTCTCAGGGCTGATGTTAGATGTTTATGATGCCACCAGGTAAGCCCACAGGTGTGCTTTGATAGTCTCTGGTAAGGATTACTGGCCTCAGATCCCCTCTGGTACTTTGGGGAAGTGGAAGAAGATGAGCTGGTTGTTCTTGCTGCTGCTTCTCCACAATGAGACAGAATAAAAACCCTCTTTGGTTTCCTCCTGAATCTACTACCTGAGGATCTAGATAGTTCTGGCTTGAATGAAATCAAAGTGGTTTAAATTAAAACTAATGACATTGGGTGGGGCTTGGTGGCTCACACCTGTAATCCCAGCACTTTGGGAGACTGAGGCAGGCAGATCACAAGGTCAGGAGTTCGTAAACAGCGTGGCCAACACGGTGAAACCCTGTCTCTGCTAAAAATACAAAAATTAGCCAGGCATGGTGGTGGGCACTTGTAATCCCAGGTATTTGGGAGGCTGAGGCAGGAGAATCACTTGAACCTGGGAGGCAGAGTGTGCAGTAAGCTGGGACTACACCATTGCACTCCAGGCTGGATGACAGAGCGAGACTCAATCTAAAAAAAAAAAAAAAAAAAAAAAAACTAATGATATCTGCTTTTAGAAACTGTAGGAATAGGCCAGGTATGGTAGCTCACACCTGTAATCCCGGCACTTTGGGAGGCCGAGGTGGGTGGATCACCTGAGCTTAGGAATTCAAGACCAATCTGAAAAACATGGTGAAAATACAAAAATTAGCCAGGTATGGTGGCGCATGCCTATAGTCTTAGCTACTCAGGAGGCTAAGTCAGGAAAATCACTCAAACCCAGGAGGCAGAGGTTGCAGTGAATTGGGATAGCACCACTGCACTCCAGGCTGGGCAACAGAGCAAGATTCTGTCTCAACAACAGCAACAACAACAACGAAAATCAATAGGAACATGACCACTGGTTTTGAAAACACACCTTATTTATTAAAAGCATAAAAACATGAATGGGAAAGAAATACATTGAAATTCTTGTTGCTAGTTCCTCTGAAGAGGGAGCGAGAACGGGAGTGGAGAAGGGAAACACCGTTCGAGTGGATTTTAGCCATATCTGTTTAATGTTTTATTTCTTTTCAAAAATTTGAAGTACACATTGCAGAAAGTTAATATGTGTTAATATTGTTAATTCTGGGTCATGACTACATAGGTGCTTGATATGTTGTTCTCTGTATTTCATTAAATTGAATGTTCTCATTATAAAAATATATTTACAAATATTTTATGTTACAACTACGATTAAATGCTAAATAAATGAGGTACAGGGACTGTGAGAATGTGTCTGAGTCCTGAGGTTGGGGAGTGTGGCCTGGGGCATTTCCCTAAGAAAAACTGAGGAGTTGATAGGGCTTTACATGCCCAGAGTGTATTAGGATTGTCCAGGGAGACAGAGAATCAATAGGAGAAAGAGAGATGGATGGATGGATAGTCACATGCATAGATGATAAGGATGAGAGATGATTTATTATAGACAGATAAATGATAGAGATGAGAGATTTATAGATAGATAGACAGATAGATAGATAGATGAGAAGATTTATTATGGGAATTGGCTCACATGATTACAGAGGCTGAGAAGTCCTGCTATATGCTGTCTGTAAGCTAGAGACCCAGAGAATCCAACAGTGTAACTCTGTGTCCAAGGCCAGAGGCCTGAGAAACAGAGTGGCTGCTGGTGCAAATTACAGGTTCCAAAGAACCAGAGAACCTGAGTTCTGATGTCCAAGTGCAGGAGAAGAGGGTGTCCCAGTTCTAGGAGTGAGAGAGCAAGCCTTTGCCTTTCCTACACCTTTTTGTTCTATTCAGGCCCTCAAAGGATTGGATGGTGCCCAGCCACATTAGGTGAGAGCGGATCTTTCTTACTCAGTCCACTGATTAAAATACCCATCTCTTATGAAACACCGTCACCAACATACCCAGAAATAATGCTTCACCAGTTGAGTATCCCTTAATCCGGTCAAGCTGATGCCTAAAATTAACCATCACACAGGGATTGTCCTCTTACTGAGTGGCACAGCTGGGAAACTATTATGGAAGTTGAGATGGCAGGATGAGTTTAGATGAGGAAGTAGGCCTGGTGTGGTGGCTCACGCCTGTAATCCAGCACTTTGGGAAGCTGAGGCAGGTGGTTCACCTGAGATCAGGAGTTTGAGACCAGCCTGGCCAACATGGAGAAACCACATCTCTATTAAAAATGCAAAAAAGAAAAAAATATTGACTGGGCATGGTGGTACATGCCTGTAATCCCAGCTACTCAGGAGGCTGAGGCACAAGAATGGCTTCAACCTGGGATAAGGAGGTTGCGGGGAGAGAGATCATGCCACTGCACTCCACCCTAGGTGACAGAGCGAGACTCCATCTCAAAAAAACAAACAACAACAGCAGCAACAAAAAAACCCACAAGAAATTGAGGAAGTGAAATTGCAGGACTTAGTGATGGACTGTATACAGGGAAGGAGAGAAGGGGACCAGGCTGGGGCCATCACGCTTGGCTTGCATACACAGATGGATGATGGCACCATCTTGACCTATGGAATGCTCAAAGAAGCCTGGGTCTGGCAGGGAGAATCATAAGTTTGGTTTTAGACTTACTGATTTTGAGGTATCTTTGAGACATTCAAGGAAAATCAGGGTACAATTAACAAAATAGTGGCAATAGACGCTGGGCAGCCCAAACTGCGGGTCATTCTACTTACTAATCGCTAGAGGGCTGAAGTCTGGCTGCCTCTTCTGTGTCCTGCCTCTGTGACATGTCCAAATTGCCACATTGAGGTTTAGGATGCAATATCTGCTTTATTACACAGTGAGGAATCTTAGGATATTACCTACTTATAGCTGGGAAATTTCACCATTCCCAGCTTAGTAACATTGGACTAACTTGTTGAAGATGGCATCTGATTTTTCATTTTCCTTCCCAGGCCTCCTAGACTCTCTCTCTCACTTCTAGTCCTTGCTGATTTCAGGTTTCTTTTAGTGTCCAATTCAGTGGTATTAAACACATTCATGGCCGGGTGCGGTGGCACAAGCCTGTAATCCCAGCACTTTGGGAGGCCGAGGCGGGTGGATCACGAGGTCAAGAGATCAAGACCATCTTGGTCAACATGGTGAAACCCCATCTCTACTAAAAATACGAAAAATTAGCTGGGCATGATGGCGCGTGCCTGTAATCCCAGCTACTCAGGAGGCTGAGGCAGGAGAACTGCCTGAACCCAGGAGGCAGAGGTTGCGGTGAGCCGAGATGGCGCCATTGCACTCCAGCCTGGGTAACAAGAGCGAAACTCCGTCTCAAAAAAAAAACACACACATTCACAGTGTTGTGCAGTCATCACCATCATCCATCTCTATAACTCTTTTCATCCTGTAAAACTGAAGCTATATGCCTTTAAACAGTAATTCCCCATTCCCTCCTTCCCCTACCCCCTAGCAATCACTCTACTTTCTGGTTCTAGATTCAACTAATTTCTTTTTTGTTGTTGTTGTTTATTTATTTTTTTTGTTTTCAACTAATTTCTTTAAGAGGTGATTCCAGGAAGACTAGAATGGGGAAGTAAGGCAGGAAAGGGAAGGAAGCCAAGAAAAGGAACATTATTAAGCAAATTGCTGCTGTGTAACTGTAACTGGGGTTCGGTGCTGCTGGGGACCCTGGGAGACAGGCAGAACGTGCCTCTGAGTTTTCCTACCCAAGAGGTGAGGAACATGGGGAGCCTCCGGTTTCCATCCATCATTGGCTGAGTCCTGCTCATAGGGTCAGTAACCCCCCCAGCATTTCTGTGTCTCAGGTAGAAGGAAAACTGTCAGGTGAAGAATCCCAGGTGCTTGCAGTAGGACAGCCACTGGAATGTACTGGAATGCTGAGTGTCAAGGGGATATGGATCCCATAAGAATTTTTGAGCTTCCTTTAAGGAACAAACTCTAAAGTAGTCCCCATGATCTCCACCTCCTGGTAACTCACACCTTTGTGTATTCATATAATTCCCTCCCTTTGAGTGTGGGTGGGTCCAGCGGCTGTTTCTTTTTTTTTTGTTCTTCTTCTTATTTTCTGTTTATTATTTTTTTAAAAGATGGGGTCTCGCTGTGTTGCCTTGGCTAGAGTGCAGTTGCTATTCACAGATGCAATTATAGCCCACTATAGCCTCTAACTCCTGGGCTCAGGCAATCCTTTTGCCTCAGGCTCCCAATTTAAGACTACTTCTAACCAACAGAATATGGCAAAGGTGATGGGCTGTTGTCTGTGATTAGGTTATACTATATACAATTCCACCCCACTAGCTCTGTTCTTCCTTTATTGGCTTTGAGGAAGCAAGTTGCTGTTTTGTAAGAGGACCTATTGAGAGGTCCACATGGCAAGGAACTGTGAGCAGCCTCATAGAGCTAAGGGCAGCCCACAGCCAGCAAAAAGCCAGGCCCTTGGTCTTACAGCAACAAGGAACTGAATTCGGCCAACAACTCAAATGAGTTTGGCAGCAGATCTGCCACTAGTCAGGCCTCCAGATGGAGCTGAGCCATGGCCAACACCATGACAGCCTCACAGCCTGCACTATGCCCAGGCCCCTGACTCACAGGGTGTGGGATAATAAAGGAAAGTTGTTTTAAACCAATACATTTGTGGTAATGTGTTATGTAGCATAGAAAACAAATACACTCCCTTATTCTATATAAGCCTCCAGTCTGAGCAAGTTGGCCTCAGCCCTTCTGCTTTTCCTCTGATAATCTTTACTCCATGTCCACTGATCAGCAATTCTTTCTCCCTCCCTCCCCTCCTCTCTCTTCCTTCTTTCTTTCTAAGATGGAGTCTCGCTCTGTTGCCCGGCTGGAATGCAGTTGCCCAGGCTGGATCTCAGCTCACTGCAACCTCGGCCTCCCAGGTTCAAGCGATTCTCCTGCCTCAGCCTCCTGAGTAGCTAGAATTATAGGCATGCACCACCACGCCCAGCTAATTTTTGTATTTTTAGTAGAGATGAGGTTTCACATGTTGGTCAGGCTAGTCTTGAACTCCTGATCTTGTGATCTGCCCCCCTCGGCCTCCCAAGGGGCTGGGATTATAGGCATGAGCTACCATGCCCAACCTATTTTATTTTATTTTTTAAGACAGCGTCTTCCTCTGTCACTCAGCCTGGAGTGCAGTAGCATGATGAGAGCTCACTGCAGCTTCGACCCTGGCTCAAGTGATCCTCCTACCACAGCTTCCTGAGTAGCTGGAACCACAGGTATGTGCCACCACACTCAAATTTTTGTAGTTTTGCTCTGTAGAAGCGGGGTCTCACTATGTTCCCCAGGCTGGTTATGAACTCCTGGCCTCAAGTCATCCACCGTGGCCTCCTGAAGTGTTGGGATTAGAGGTGTGAGCCATCACACCCAGCAGCAATTCTTATGGTTTAAATAAACGTATTTTTTTCTCTTATTAGGAAATAAGACATATTCATTGTAAAGTATATAAAATATATGCAAGAAAAAGAAAAACTAATGCTGTTCATCCAGTTTTTTCTTCGGTAAGTTCAAACTTTCTTCTGGAGAGCTCTCTCTGCCTTTGAGTTCTATATTCTTTTTCA